TCTATCTTCTATGGTATTCCAATGTGCAGTCACTTCCTTACTCTGCGTGTTATTATAAACAACATTCACAACAGCAAGACCACTGTTGGTCTGTCGAGTCTCCTTCTTTGTTGCCTATATACACAAATTCTCCAGGAGGCATGTAGCTCAGTGTGTACGCCGAGTCCTTAGCAAATGGCGTTGAAGGTGCCTTGTAACATCTCTGCGGCTTACAACTTTCAGCAGGTGTGCACTTCCCTATTGCCTGGTAGGATGCACTGGTAGTTGTTTCAAAGCTCATATGTCCTTCAAGAGTAAGACTGTCTAGCCAAGCGTTGCGGCGACACTGTGCAGCAGTATCTGCGTCGGTTCCAAAATGGAGAGTTTGTATACAGTGCCATCTTCGAAAGGAACTGTTGGCTTCTTATATACATTTAAAGGCTTGCATGACTTCGCGGGCTGAGGTTGTATGTACACATACCCATTCCTTCCTAATGTATTACTTGTCCTTTGTCCTGCCGTTCCGTGGCGTTTGTGAAATTTGGCGCAGCATGTAAAAGCATTTGAATTCATATTGTTCCAGTAGATTATCTAATAATTACTGCTCTTGTATGAAGATAAGTCTGCGTTTGAATTCTCTCTCTTACAGATTGGTGTACACGTGTCTGGTCTGGCCTCGTTACTTAGCTTCGTAAGAATGGAATGGAGATCAGAGCTTCGAAACGTTCCGCTACTGCACTGCATGAATGCGTTGTCTCGGAAACGTGCTCTGAGCAATCCGTTAATCCGTTGTATATCAATGGATGTCTCTGTATTATTTGAATGTCTACGAAATTCAGGCTTTCAGGCGTCATGGCATGTTGTTGCGTTCCTAAATTCTGCTAGTTCAAAGAAGCCAGTAGTTGTATAAATTCGGTTATGTAGCATTGTTTTTTAAATTTATTATAATACTTGCTAAAGTGTCTTAGCCCAGTTTCCTTTTATTAACGTGGAAGCAACACGAAGCACAGGCCGACATGAATGAGTCCCCTGAGTTTATTCAACCCAAGAAAACCTTGGCTAGTAGCCTCGAATCATACATTCATTTCCGGGAATGTGAATATGGAGTAGGATTTTGGAACTTTTCACGTTGCCGTCCGGTTACAGAATACAACCTTGACTTAGCGAGTACCCGGTCTCACTGCCCCGGTGGGTAGGACTAGCTATGTGTCGCTTCTCATGGTTACGTGGCGGGAACGCAGGACTCGTTAGCTATGATGGACAACCTGTCTAAGGGAAGCATATCCTGAATTAACTCCTCCAATTTGGGAAGCGGAAGGGGTTGCAGGAGGATGGGATCTTTCTCAAGTTAAAAATGATACTGTAAGATTTAATTTCCGGAGTTTGAGAACAGAACGGGCTAGTAAGTTCAACCCTTGCAGATGATGATGATGAAGATGGTGGTGAAAAATTCTGATTACGTTACACAAAACTTGGTTGACATTTGAATCTTGCCAAACAATTTCCTCGAAAAAAGTTTATATGAAGAGTAAGCTGGGATCTAACTTGCTTCTTGTATCTTGCTCGTTACTTATTTGATTTACTCTTCGACCCAGAAGATGGAGGCAGTTATTTCCTCTGCTACATTAGACTACACGAAGTCTCATTCCAGAAGCTGGCGCTCTTCATAGTCACCTCTGCGAGACCCACAGATCCAAATCTATGTTCATTTCGTTTGTGTTCTTCTTTTCGCACAGACAGCTTATTGCCTGTACCGGCCTCAAAATCCTCTTTGTAACGAGTCCTTAGGTTACCTCTTATTTTTCGTCCTGGCCTGCACGTATTTTTATATACTGGCACTACATGGAACTGTGGTCAGCTTGATACTGCGGGCCCCTAGACGTTGCCTGTACACGGTGAAGATAGAAATCCCTGCTCCTGCTGGGAGTTGAACCCCTGTCATCCAGGCCATACCCAGTCACTGTACTGGTTGATTGGTCTTGGCTCGTGAAGTATGAGGCCTATATAAGGATGCTTCATTTCACTCTGCGTGATGCAGGAGAGAGATACATCCATTACGTGCCATTAGTGGGACAGCCCCTTGCGTCAACTTTGCTTCTATAGGCTCATGTTTCTAGTGGATGTACATAAAATGTATCGGAGTCGCTAAACAGATGCAACTACCTACCTACCTACCTACCTACTTACCACTCGGCGCTGCAGCCCTGGGTGAGCCTTGGTCTCCTCTACGACCAGTCTCCACTGCTCTCTGTTCCTCATCTTCTCTATCCATCCGTTCACCTTCATCTTCTTCAGGTCGTTCACAACATCGTCTGGCCATTTCATATTCCAAGTTGCCATCGCAATATCATTGTTCCTTGTCCTCTGCTTAATCTGTTCCCCATATGTTCCACTTATCCGAGCCTGGTTGTTAGGTTTCTGAACAAAATTCTTTTTACAGGATGAGATTGTTAGCCTCGTGCTCAACCTCGAACCTGGAGGACCAGGGTATCTCTCTTAGTCTGGACTCTACCCTTTGAACTTTCCGGCACGGGTAACCCTACCAGTAGTTAAACTACCGCCGGCATAGCTCTCAAGGTCACAGAGTCACGCAAGCCCCACCACCACGACAAGTGGAGACACCTTCGGGGTGAAATGTATTGGGAAACAGATTCACCGCCTACGCACTGCACATATCACAGCTAATTTCATTCATAAAGTAAATCAGAAGTAAATTTGTCCCTGCGTTTGAAGCTTATAAGCGTAAGGTACCTTGTAAGGATATCCTTGTAAAAGCACTGCACCACGACGATTTATGGAGGGTTGCAGATATAGTGCCATGTACATGGTCTTAACCTCGGCACTAGATAGATGTGAGTGGTCAGAGTAAGTCACCTTACGAGTAGCGGCTCACCGCCCATCAGTTCCTCTTGGCGCCAAACCCTTGAGACCCACGACCAGTAATTTTTTATTCAATTGAACATTTGCGCTCATAGTCCTTATGCAGCAACCTCTCTGACGAGAGGATGTGTCTATCGTTTACAATTGCTGCTGGCCCTCGCCATCGCAGTCATTCTCGGGTCCGAGTCCCGCGGGACTTATGACCACATTTTACTTTCTCAGATTCGAGACTCCCCCAACCTGGAGGGCAGGTCCCCGGAATTATATCCCCCAGGGGCAGGGTGGCCCAGTTATACCCCCAGGCACTGGGTTCCCTTTTCGTCGCCTCTTACTACTCGCAGGGCTATTGTTGAGTTATTCGAACCAACCTCCACACGGGATAAAACTACCGTATTAATGAAGCCTCATTATTGAAGAACTAGATACATTTTTCGTACAGAAAAGCGAATTCAAAGCGCGTGGGAAGAAAAACCAGTTTAAATGATGTACGTAGATATGCAGTAACACACAAGTATTTAAAAATGGCCGCCGAGTCATCTCTTTAAAAGTGGCGAACGAAGTTTAAACTTGACAAAGAGCTTCCTTAGGGTACTTAATTTTTTAGAAAGAATTTCAAAGTTTTACTTCCCTGTACCCTTATTATTACGTAACATCCCATTTACGGTTACGACTGCTAAGGATGTTTTCCCGTGAGATTTACGAGTTAAAATTCTGTATTTAGTCCTTTTTTCACAGCGACCGCGCCGTCTAAAGCATGAACCATCTTCGCCCGCTCGAAAATTGAGATCGTGGGTTTGAATCTCACTCGAGGCATGGATGTTTGTGTGCGTTTATTCTGTGTTTGTATTGTTCTGTGTGTAGGTAGCGGCCTTGCGACGGCTGATTCCCCGTCCGAGGAGTACTAATGACTGTGTATAGGTTAAGAAACTGAAAAAGCGGACAAGGTCCACAAGGGCTTAGATGGATAGATAGATAGATATTGATATAGACCTACAGTTCATCTAAAGGAACTGCAAGACAACAAATTACCTAACAATATTCACGGTCGGATATTTGACACTATTATTTCGTGTTCGCGAGGATTTCGGTTAAAATCTCGGCCCAGAAACTGGCTAGCCTGATGTTTTGCCGCTCCTGTGAATCCTTCCACGCAAAATTCGGTACAGTACCACCAATTGTGCCACGACCCCTTCGTATCACAGCGTTGCCAATTCTTCGTTCACTCATTATCCCGTCAAGAGATGCTATGTAATCTGGGGCATTGAGAGCGCCATTAAATGTAACATAAATATATACTCGGGGATACTGTTTCCATCCTCAGGCCGGGGGGATGGGGGGGGGGCGAGATACACACTTATATCCGCTGGGAAGATCAATTCCAATCCAGTGATTGTGTTGTTGTGTTCTTTAAAATACCGGATGATGGACAAATTTCAAAAAGCCAGCGATGCCGAGTAATATATGAATCCGTTGGTATCTACGTACTTGTAAATATATAAATACATCCCCCGAAATAATTCAATACACGCATTTAAACTAATACTTATTTAAGGTGGGGGATAGCGCAGTCGGTGTAGAGCCAGGCTACCGGCTGGACGACCGAGCGGCCAGAGTTCGAGTCCCGGTATAGTCAAGAATTTTCTCTTCTTCACATCGTCCAGACCGGCTCTGGGGCTCACCCAACCTCCTATCCAACGGGTACCGGTGGCTTTTTCCCCGGAGGTAAAGCGGCAGGGGCGTGAAGCTGACAAGTCACCTCCAGCTAGTGATGAGGTCAAGAAAATCCACTCCCCCGTAAACCTTCATGGCATAGTGCTTAATTAGTTAAGCACAGGGACAACTTTACCTTTTTTCCCCCTTGGCACTACAGCCCCAGTAGGCCTAGGCCTACCTCCATGAACTTCTCCGTTCATTTCGGTTTTTCTAGATCTTACACATTTGGTAGGACTCCATGGGCGGGTGATCAGCTCGTCCCAAGGCCTCTACTTGTACACAAACAGAAAAACGCACACACAAACTAAACATCCATGCCCTGAGTAGGATTCGAACCCACGATCCCGGCTTCCGAGCGAGCGAAGACAGTACATGCCTTGGACCGCTCGGCTACCGTGACCGGCAACTTTACCTTTACTTTAACTTATTTCAGGTTGTGACGTCAGAAACCCATGCAGTGCGTGACGATGGTGCTGCCCGGACATCGTGATGCCTGCTACAATGCCCTCAGTAACGTCACATCCGGCGTCTGACCACGGCCGAACGTGGACAATCAACCGGCAGCAGCTGCGGGACGTCTTCGCGCTCTGCGACCCGGAAGGTACTGGATTCGTGTCCCTGGAGCACCTACTGCAGCTGGGACGCACGCACTGTGACGGAAGCGATTCCAAGGTATGTGTCTTGTTCCCTGTTTGGTGCTGAAGGCTTGTGATTCCTAGGGTAATTTGTGGAGACTGTGCCCGGCGGGTCAGTTGTTCAGTTACAGAATAGGAACATAATGTTTTGATGCCTAGACAGAAGTAACCGCTTTTATACCCAGGGACATTCCAGAAATCCGTCTCTCTCTTTCAGCCAGTTTGTAGAACCAACAAATAAAACTATGAAAGCAAATTTTATGAATTATATCTATTTCAACAAAATACAAATTCCCCATATTATATGAATGGTTATAGGACAGATCAACTGAAAAGGAAATGAAGAAGACTGAAGTAAAGGATTTCAACCTGTTTCAGAAAATTAAGCTAGCCGCAATAGCTCAGTCGGTATAGCGGTGGGCTACAAGCTGGACGACCGGCGTCCGATTCACGACGGCAGAAAGAGCTTTCTCTCTCGTCCAGAGCGTGTAGACCGGCTCTGGGTCCCACTCTGCCTTCTCTCCAATGGGTACCAGGGGCTCTCTCCCCTTGGTTAAAGCGGGCTAGACTTTAAGCTGACCATTCACCTCCATATAGTGCTGAGGTCAAGAATGGTGGAGCTATAGCTATGCGCTTAATTAAGAGCGTGCACAACTTTATCTTTGTAGTAACCTGGGAGCCGATCACAGTGGCCGCGTGGTCTAAGGCATGAACCGTTTTCGCCCGCTCGAATACTGGGATCGTGGGTTCGAATCCCACTCGAGGCATGGATGTCTGTGTGTCCTTATTCTGTGTTTCTGTTGTTCTGTGTGTGGGTAGCGGCCTTTCGACGGGCTGATCTCCCGTCCAAGGAGTCCTACCGTCTGTGTAAATTATTACGAAACTGAAGAAGAGGCCAGGGTCGAACAAAGGGCTCTAGAGCCATAGATTTATTAATAGAGAGATAGTGGCCTGGGAGCTTGGTTATGAGTGGTGAATTGGGAAGGGTCCAAGAGACTAATGTTCGCCTATCTTGAGGCCGTGTCCTACCATTTATTTGGAGAGTCTGAAGAAAACAACGAGAATCCTTGGTTAATACAGCCGGCATTCTGGCTCGGTATTAAGATAAGGCAGGTATGCGATGAAGCAAAGTGTATATGTGACGTAACGCACTGTTTCACGGTAACGGCTAAGTTTGTGGAGTTCCAGCTGCCCGTTAAAACGGTAGGCGTGTCCTTGGCGGGAACTGGGTCACACGTAGAATTAACCTACTCTTCACTGGGCGATAATCCATCGTCAGTTCTTAAGCGAGAGCAAGAGAAAATGAACCTACAGGGCGTTTAGGAAACTATGCACCCAAACGATTTTATCATCTGCTTGAACCGCATCTGTGGTCTCGTGACCAGAGTGCCTGTCTACAGATCATGAGGTCCCGGGTTCTATTCCCGACGCTACCATATTTTCTGAGAAGTAGTGGGTCTGGAACGGGGTTCAGTCAGCCTCGTGAGCATAATTGAGGAGATATTTAAAGGAAATAGCGGTTCCGGTCTAGAAAACCGAGATTAACGGCTGTGGGGATTCGTTGCGCTGACCACGCGACACCATCTATCCGCAAAAGTTGGCACTAACTTCGCCGACAAGCGGCGGTCGCTCGGTCGGTATTGTTTGCTTGCGGACTACAGTCCACGGAGTTTGTTTTTTCATCTGCTTGGCGAAGTATACTGTTCGTTGGGTGAATTCCAGTAAATGATGAAGTGAGAAGTCGTAGTAGCTTATTCTGAGGCAGGCCTAAAGTCTCAGCACTTTCATGGAGGAACTGAGGAGAACTATAGTCATTCCAAGTCTGAGATTCGAAGTCTTGACGTCACGGAAGTACAGGCGTACCAACCACCTGACAACAAAATTTGGTATCTTATGTTGTGTTGTTCGAGCGAGGTTTCCAGTCATTTTCCTCAGTACCTCCGCACAAATGGCAGGAAATGAAAAGTGATCCCTCAATTCATCATTCAAAGAAACGCTATCATTTGACGCTACATAACCTTGACAGTTCATAAGCGTTATTAAATAACATAAGATTCATGTCAGCATATTTTGGTTTGTCAGTGGGGTTTCCAACTAGATTTCGAATTATGTTATTAAATTCCGTTTTCTAGCTTTCCAGATGGAAGGATAATATTAAAATGTATCTTAATGAAATAGGATGGGACTCATCTGTCTCAGGATAGGAACCGGCAGCGGGCTGTTGTCAGTGGGGCAATTAATCATCGACTTCCATAAAATGCTGGGAATTCCTTGAGCGGCTCTTTCTTTTTATTCTTTCTCAGTCGTGCCACGTCTTGCCTAATCGCTCTGTTGGCGCCTCTCGGTGGAAAGCAGGCGGTTAGTTCTGCCCAGAAATTCTTGTTCTTTTCATAAAATCCAAGGCTTGATTTAACCCCCCCTTCGGCGCCCGTGCCCTATACTTGACTTCAGTGAGAAAGGACGGTGGTTATGAAATGCGATTTCAGATACAGTGCTTGTGTAAACCTTCAGTGTGTTCCCACTTTGAATTGCATACGTGTATGCGAGATACCTAGGTTCCGGTCCCTCCGCCTCATGGTCACCTGCGCGTATGAAACAGGACGCGCAGTTTCCGGTACATGCAGGACAAATGCCGGTACGGTGACCGTTGGCGAGTGAAATTATCAGTCATTACTTAGGTTTCTTCGGACAGGGCCGGCGTAGGCAAAAAGTCCCCCTCCCCAGGAAACCAGAAAGTTCGCCTCCGCAACCCTCGAATTGACCTCCGCTGTGATCTAGTGGTCAGAGTTCCTGGCTACAGATCCAGAGGTCTCGGTTTCGATTCCCGGCCCTACCAGATTTTCTAAGAAGTAGTGGGTCTGGAACGGGGTCCACTCAGCCTCGTGAGCCTAATTGAGGAGCTACTTGTATGGAAAAATAGCGGTTCCGGTCTAGAAAACCGAAATTAACGGCTGTGGCATTCCGTTGCGCTGACGATGTAACATCCTCTATCCGCTAAAGCTGGCACTAACTTCGCTGACAAGCGGTGGTCGCTCGGTCGGTATAGTTCCCTTGCGGACTAAAGCGACGGAGTTTTTTTATTTTAACCCCCGAATTAAAAAAAACTACCCAACTTTCTTAAAACTCTCACAATTAAAGGGACGAAATTGCAGACACCGTAACAAATTCTGTCAGTGATGTAATTCTTAAAAGCAAAACAAAAGAAGAACCAACAAAAACGTACGGCGTTATTCGACCATAGCAATCGTGGAGCCGGGCCGCGCCATAGTTCAAGCGGCTAGTCGCTGGCTTCCCACCGCGGCGGCCCGGGTTCGATCCTCGGGTCTGGTCAAGTGGGATTTGTGGTGGACACAGTGGCGCTGGGGAGGGTTTTCTCCAAGTGCTTCGGTTTCCCATTCCAATCTCCATTCCACCAAATTCTCCATCATCATAATCACCCGGGGCAGGCTGCAATAGGCCAATCAGTGGCCGCCGTGCCGAGTGGACCCAGCTGGACTCCACCCCCAACTAAGCGAATTAAAAAAATTGCAGAGCCACTGCAGGCTTCTGCCTTGTGAGCAAAGGAGCCGCAGAAGTTCGTTTTCGTGCAACAGGGGGGAAAAAAATTCTGGGAAGAATTAATCCTCTGCTTTCCTTTCATACGACACTGAGTGCATAGAAAACGACGCGTCAAATATTTCTTTCATTCACGCGTGTGTATTCGTTGCCGCAGTAACATTTTTACCGAGTCGTTGCCTAGTAACGATAGGGGGATGCACATACAAATACACAGACTTATGGGAGGGGGGATTTTGTGACGTATGCCGCTGAGATCGGATCAGGTGCCATGACATACATACCATGTTTCATGAACATTGGTTGAGGCATTAAAATGTTGATGGGTGGGGAGATTCAGAGACAGACAACATGGTGATAACATAAGCCTACTTTTATTCCCTCAAAATAAGGAAAGTAGTCCCAAGGGGTGGAGAAGGGCTTGTAAAGCGTAATTAATTAGGCACCACGCCGTGGGGGAGTGGTGGTATAGCTCCATTGTTCTTGACCTCGGCTCTAGATGGAATTGTGTAGTCAGCTTCACGCTCCGGCCGCTTCACACCCTGGGAAACAGCCCCCCGTACCCACTGGATATGAGCCTGAGTGGGCCCCAGATGCATTCTGGACGCTGTGGAGAAGAGAAAAATTAATTTCCCATGCCGGTAACGGAACTCCGGCCGTCCAGTCCCTAGTCCGCTATGCAGACTGAGCTATCGGAAACGTGCCGCTCTCAATTTCGCTTTGCTCCAGATGTGCTCCAATTGCAGGTGGGTTTTTGTTCCCGTAAGTTTAGCCGAACGATCTGAGGCATGTACTGTCTTCGCTCGTTCGGGATCGTGGGTTCGAATCCCACTCAGGGCATGGATGTTTCCTGTTTTTCTGTGTTTGTGTTGCCTTGCAACGAGTTGATCACCCGTCCAAGGAGTCCTACCATCTGTAAAATGATAAAGAAAGTAAGAAATCAGCCCTGTGCTCCAAATTGGGAGCAGGTTTCTTTATGACGCTGTTAGGGGTGTAGCTCAGGGAGAGATGATAACGAGGCCATGCGGCTGTAGCTTCGACTCGATTTTATAGTCCGTGGCTCATAAAGGAAAGGGGTGAGAAACTACTCAACGGATTCATATAGGTTGCCCCTGGCAACACAACAACAAACGGCCAGAAGGACATTGACCGGCCAAGTCAGAAGAGTCATTGTATCGTTCACTGATCGATAGTGGAATTTCTGGTTCAAGAAGCAACTGTTTGGAATGTGAAATTAGGCAGTACGCGTGCCGCGCAGGTTAGTACAGCAGTACGATGTAATGTTTCAGACTTTTTTTTTTGTTTTCGTAAGGTGGACTGAGCTCCGTTACTATTTAGCCTACTGTACCAGCCCTAGATGATAGATGAGTATGGAGCGTTTGGTAGAATTGGCAGGGGAAACAGAAGTATTAGCAGGAAACCTACTCCAGTGCCACTTTGTTCACCACAAATCCCACATGATTTTTCTTGTGATCGAATGCGGGGCGCCACGAGTAAGACTGAAATACGTCACGGCCCCTAGACTTGCCCACTATAGGCTCCAGATTCTGATATCATGTAATTTGACTGAGATGTATCATGGTTTTTCTCAGTCTCTCGATGTTACATAGAATGATTCGTTCAGAATTGTGGAACGGAGTCCACTCAGCCTCCTGAGGATAATTGAGGAGCTACTTGAATGGAAAATTAGCGGCTCCGGTCTAGAAAACCGAGATTAACGGCCGTGGGAATCCGTCCACGCGACGTCCTCTATCTAAAAAAGTTGGCACTAACTTCGCCAACAACCGGCGGTCGCTCAGTCGATATAGTTCGCTTGCGGACTAAAAGCGACGGAGTTTAGCTTTTAGTACGTATATACATATACACAGTTTCCTGTGGTGCTGTTATTATTGTGCTGTAGCGGATCTGTCTGCACTGCTTGTTTAAGGCTACGTGTGTATGTATATTCTGCTCCCCGTTGTGTGTCAGTTTGTAGCGAAAACTTGCTGTTGCAGGATGTGGAGTGTGTGCTGAGACAACTGGACCCAGAGCACAGGGGTGTGCTCGGCTACCCGGACTTCTGTCGCGGCGTCTTCTCGATCCTGCGATCCCAGCGCAAGCTGCAGCAGCGACATGGTAAGCCGCCCCAGTTCCTACTGTCTGGCAACTTCCTACCTGCCTTTCTTTCCTTACAAACACTATATCCTGTTAATTTGAGCCCGGCCTTGCAAACGTTAATGCTCATTTGACATTCTGTTTCGAAGTACCCAAGAAGTGACAGGATGAACGCAAAGACAAATCCGTGCCTTGTAGTCCGCAAGCGAACTATACCGACCGAGCGACCGCCGCTTTTCGGCGAAGTTAGTGCCAACTTTTGCGAATAGAGGGTGTTGCGTGGCCAACGCAACGAATCCCCACGGCCGTTAATCTCGGTTTTCTAAACCGGAGCCGCTACTTTCCCATTCAAATAGCTGGAGGAAGGTAAAGGGTGGAGATATGTTACGGGGAGTAATTGGGAAATGCTCTCGACCCGACCCCGACAAGAGCACTCGAGATAAGAGGGAGGAAAAGGTTTGACATCAGACTCTGTTTCTTTGTTTGTATGGCAACGGATGTTATTCTGTAACCTGCACCTTAACGCTCGGAGGGGCCCAGTGGTCTGGGCAGCTCTGTGATTTCTGCTGTCTCATGACACTACAATGGCTTTTCCTCTACATAAAGCAAATCTGTGGGAAAGTTTACATGATGTATATCTTGTTCACTTTTTGTAAGGACAATTTAAAGATGTCCGAGCTGTTATATGTGAATTTCTCACAAGGAAATTGTTATTCTACCCACTTCAGTCTTGTGGGAAAGTAAAGAAGGTCGACCAGTAGCAAGTTCACAGGTAACCTTCACGCCAAATGCTAAGAATGATATGTCTAAAACATCTTTAAAAGTGCGTCATGATCGGATTGTGAAGTAGATCTTTTAGTCGTCGTCTGCTTTCAGTATATTGTAACGAATTTGATTAAAGCGTTGCAGGTATCAGCTTTATAAACACAGTCAAACACGCAACAATAGAGGAAGCTATGTTTTCTGTAGATCCGACCGTCGCTCCAATAGACTGGCTGGATAGCAATCACGTGATATGTGTTTACTGTAGATCCATGTCCGTTCTGCGGCTCTAAAAGTAAGAGTGACAGAGTTCGTTCCGGGCACTTACGAGTCAGTCATAAGCAGGAGGAGTGAGTCCAGAAGAATTTTTAGTTCCGAGGTTCCAAAGTGATTAGAAGACTTTATTTATATGTAATATTTGGAGTGTGTAACTCAGTGACACTTTTATAGTTCCTGTGTTATAAATCCGTGAGGACTAGTTGAGAAAGACTGAGAAGATTAGTGTGGAGTGATTGTAAATTATGTAAAGCAGCAATAGTGTTATAATTAATTGTAGTTACGTCCTGTAGGTGGTTAATAAATCAAATTACCGATCCGAACCTGCCTCTTTAGTCACTGATACACCTGGCAATATTTACACTGAGAAAGAGAAAATGTTCCTGTCTTCTCTGGAATCGAAATGTGGCCTTCGGTCCGTCGTCTATCAAGCGAGCGCTCTGGATACGTGACTTGTGCAATCGCAGAGTTACTAGCTACTCTAGTTGAGGCCTTAATGGGTGTACTCAGCTTTCCCAACCGAACTGGGGGTTAGCACACTCAGCCTCGTTGGGATCCTTACCCATTCACATCTTATAACATGCCTACCCCATTTCACGCTTTATAATTTAGGTAATTGAAACAGGATCGTCAAATAGCTTACGGACCATGAAACAATAAGCAAAACTTGTCTTCTTCGGAATATGGTCCCGGGGACCGGACCTTCACTAAAAGCCTTGAGTTCGAATGTATTCAAAATACTGAACGTACATCAATTTTCCATTAAGGCTCTAATATGAAGCACACGTTAACTCGAGGAATTATTCACAGAGGGTTCTGTTCGCTGCTTACCATAAGCTTCCCTTTGACTTTATTCAAACAATGTCTGTTATGAATAATAGTGTCGTGTTGCTTCCATTTCGCATTTGCGAGTAGAGCAGATTTAATGCCTGCTAGATAGGCGTCACATCTTACACATGGAGTAGGTTGGGTTGCGGTATTTCAGGCGTACGTACTGCTGTGTACTGTAACTTCACGAAATGAAGGCCTGCATTTTGACGCATGTTTCTAGTATTGAGAGAAATGGGTCAGCGACCAAAGTGCGTGCTGGTCGCGTTGTTTAGCCTACTTTACTTATTTTATAGGGAAAGATAAGCTTATGGTATTATTATGTTCCTTGCATATGTGTTCCTTAGAATAACTTTGAATTAATAGATGAAATTTCATCTAATTCTGTATCAGTATCATTCAATCTAAAAACATAAAGTTTAAAACGTATAAAATTATAATTTTATCTATCATTTTGTATGAGCGTGACTCCGGTATTTTGACCTGAGGAAAGAAGATAGACTGAGGATGTTTTAGAACAGAGTGTTGGGGACCTAACCGGAGGCTGGAGAGGAACTTCGTAATTTGATTTCAGCTCCAGATATAATTAAGTTTATAAAATGAGGACGGATGAGAGAGGTGAAGCCTGTAGCACGCATGGCAGAGAAGATAACCACAAACAAACTTTTGGTATGAAAAGCTGAAGGAAGGAGACCGCTTGGAAGATCTATGCATAGATGGGAGGAAGATGCAGTAATGTATCTTTAATAAATAGGTTAGGAGGGTGGGACTAGATCCATTTGGTTCAGGGCAGGGAATGAACATTCGGATTCCATGTTTTTTTTTCTTGGCACTACAGCCCCAGTGGGCCTAGGCCTACCTCCATGAACTTCTCCGTTCACTTCGGTTTTTCTAGATCTTACACATTCGGTAGGACTCCTTGGGCGGGTGATAAGCTCGTCGCAAGGCCTCTACCTGTACACAAACACAGAAAAACGCACACACACAAACTAAACATCCATACCCTAAGTGGGATTCGACCCCACGGTCCCGGTTTCCAAGCGAGCGAAGACAGTACATGCCTTAGACCGCTCGGCTACCGTGACCGGCTCGGGTTCCATGTAGTGTTGGGAATCCCCTGACGAACTGTGGCAAGTATTAGAATCTCCAAAAGGATTCTGCTCCATGTAATTAGTAGAGGTCACTCCACGTCCATAGATCGACTGGGCTACGGGCTTGATGACCGAAGAGTCGAAGTTCGATTCGTGAAAGGGGAAAGAAAATTTTCTCTTCACATTATCCAGACCGTATCTGGAGCCTATTGAGTCTCTATGCAACGGGTACCTGAGGCTCTTTCTCCGGAGGCCGGAGCGTGAAACTGACCATTCACTTCCATCTAGTGGCGAGACTAATACCGTATTTACGCATGTATAGGCCGCAGCACAATTTTCAGACAGAAATTACAGAAAAAATAATTTTCTTGGAATATTATTTCAGGAGTATTACACCCTGTATTACTAATTATGAATATATATTTTTTTAAATGAAGTGTGATTTCGAATATTTTGAATATAAGCCGCACCCCAGTTTTCCTCTTGAATTTTTGGCAAAAAATGTGCGGCCTATACATGCGTAAATACGGTAATTGAGTTGCGTCATTAATTAAAGCCAAGGGATAATTTTACCTGTGCTTTTTTAAAAATATTTTAAACATATTTTTTTCTGGAGATATGAAGCGGAAATGAATAAGAAAAAAGGAATCAGACTCATGTGACCGAACAAGGTTAAGAAACGTTGCTAGATTCGAATTGAGCAGCTCTCGAATTTGAGTCTATGACGTTACCGCTGCGCTAATGTTAATGATGTCCACGGATACTTCCCTACAATTTGTTCATTTTGTTCTCTTCGCGAAAGGATAGAACAGCGATAGCAGTGGACCAGTCCTGTCGTGACATGACAGTGAGTGTCCGGTCTTTGTTATCGAGCTGCCTTGTCAGCAGAGGCTGGGGTGGGGTGGGGGTGGGGGTGCCTCGCGACGTATTCCCATATTAATATTCTGGCCCACTCTACGGAGGAACCATTCAGCGAAACACTAATGCCCTTATGACGGACTTTCTAGAAGCTATGCTAAGCTGCTATCCCTGTAACAAGCCGTGGAGGTCCATAGGGTTCTGAGACGTTGAGGCTCCCACATTTTCTAGACAACCGGCTCACAGATGGCGGTGAGGTTGTCCTCCTTACGCGCCGGCTGCCTTTTACCCCCAGGAAGATTCCTGCTACTCATTTCTGTTAAAGGCTGAGTCGACCCCAGGACAATAGTGTGGCTGGAAAGATTAGGTAAATTAAAAAAATCCACCTCATTGAAACTCGAATCCGCGACCTTCTGGCTTGTAGCATAGTGCCTCCACCACCTACACTACCGCGTTCTCTTGGAGTTTCTAGAAACAAGGTTGAAAAGCACGGGGAAAGTTTGGGGCCGAAGGCAATGTCAGTAAAAAAGTAAAGTTATCCCAGTTCTTAATTAATTAAGCATTATTCTATGAAGATAAGTGGGGGAGTGGAGGTAGAGCTCCACCATTCTGGACCTCGGCATTAGTTGGAGATGAGTGGTCAGCTTCACACCCCAGCCGCTTTACCCTCGGGGAAATCGTTTCCGGTACCACTGGATAGGAGGCTGGGTGGCTTCCAGAGCCAGTCTGGACGCTGTGGAGAGGATAAAATCTTGCCTTTCCGGGGAATAGAACCCGGGCCGTTCAGCTTGTAGCCCGTCGGTATACCGACTCAGCTCTCTCGACGACTCCAACCCCCGTGAGTAGTTTTAACATCTTGAATTATCATGTTCCATCTAACGCAACACAGGGAATGTATAACATTCAGTTTGTTTTATTCAAATCACAACTTGTTTCGACCATTTTATCTGGTCATCATCAGGTGAATAGAAGTGATTAACAAGTGTTCGACTGAATTGCAAAACGCCTTACCTCTCATACCAGATAAAATGGTCGAAACATGTGATTTTAATAAAACAAACTGAATGTTATACATTCCCTGTATTGCGCTAGACGGAACATGTTAATTGATTAGTTTGATCACTAACAGGATGCAGTCCATAAAGATTTTTAAAATCTTATTCACCGTCGCCAAATTTTGCCATATGAATTACTGATTTTATAACT